ACCACAAAGTACCGATTGTACTCATCAACGTCCTTAGACGTGCGAACACGATAGTACACGCGCTGCGTACGGCAGTAGTCTGCATACACAACTTCCCAAGACTTCCCGGTTGCGTAGCCTCTCCGTGGAACTGGCCCGACGTAATTTTCCACATTGGTGTGAGAGGCAATCATTTCCTCTCGCTCCTTCTTCGTGCTGCTGCTGCGCACACGTGGTTCCTTGGGTTCAGCAAACTGAAGGTACGGGGGTAGTTCCTCGTCGCTACTCTCCTCCCTCTTGCTGTTTTCAATGCAGGTCTCACTCTTCTCCTCAACCTCGTAAGACGATGAAGGGCTTCTGTCGACTTCGTGGGGCGAGTACAGACGGAGCTTTTCGTCGACTGCGAAGAGGGACCGGCTTTTGATGGACTGCTCTTTCGTTTGGTACCAACTGCCAGAAGCAGCGTTATCAATAGCAACGTTAATCACATTACCGCAAACATAAAGCAACGTTAAAACACAACAAGCACTGCCCTTGACTTGACTGCCAGCGTTTCCGCGCACTTGGTCGTCATGGTTGCCTTGGCAACGCAATCCACATTCCGCGCGCGGAGAAGCACCGCTCATGCCGCCAGCATCCATGCTACCAGCTGCATCATCTGCGGGCTCTGGCATAGGTTCTAATTTATTACATAGGGTACGTAACGTTAGAATAGAGCAACATTAACATGAAGCAACGTTAAAATTTCACAAACGTTATCCCCTTTACCATAACTCACCGTTGCCGTCCCCGCTACCAATCGCACCACCCTTGCTCGCAACGTCCGTTCTTGACGGACCCTCGATCACGGACTTGCCGCGCTTGTCGCTATCACTCTCGTCGCCAGACAACTGTCGTGCACCTGGATCTATGCACACAACCAAACCAATCACAACCGCTCTGTTAACGACACAACGATAAACATAGGCGAGGGACAAAAGCAGTTTCGCAGCACACACACCCTCGTAATCTCGATCAGCTTTGCCCTTCATGGCACCTCCGACTGCCGGGTCATCTTTGTTTCCGCATCCGCGGTCTGCACCCCCACACACAACCTCAAAGTTTTGTCGTAACGTTATTAAAAGTACAATACAAACCTGCGTCTTTACCGGCCCATTCATCAACCTGACGCGCACCCTCGTCACCAACGGCAACTTTGCCTATCGAGGCGTCTCCGAGCGTCGGATATTCTCCGTCTCTGCCCTCGCACACACTCTTGTCATTACCACCTGTGTTGCCGCCCAAATCTGGCACCGTTTTGGCTGTGTTATTCACAGAATATATCATAGCGTTAGTAAAGCAACAATAAAGAAAAGCAACGTTAGCTTCAAGCAACGTCAGCTTCAAGCAACGTTAACTGCAAGCAACGTTAACATTAAGTACGATACGACTGGGGTCCTTACGGGCGACCTCTTCATCGACGTGACGCGCAGCCGACACAAGTTGGTCCATACATGCGCCAGGTGCGCTTCTGGCGACAGTGGTGTTGCTTCCCGTTCCACCAGCGAGAGCACGCCCTCCACGTCCTGCGCTAGCACCCGCATCGCCTTTCGGAGACGTATCTATAGCGTAACAATGAAAACGGTTAGATGAAGAAAGGAATTTGGATAGACGCGCAATACACGAACCGCTGTCAGCCGCGTCAACGGCTTCGCTTTCGAAGACTGGCTCCGCACGAGTGCTAGCGGCATCGAAACTGTCGTTTGAGTCAAGCTCACTATCGTGAGCAAAAATACTGGGCGGGGCCCCGGCATGCTCACCGCCTTCTTCTTGGGCGCTCCCTCCCGTACCCGCAGGCCCGTTCTCTCCGTCGTTGTCGCGCATGGTTCTCCGCTGCGTGTCGTGTTCGTCATGTGTGGTGCCCCCGTACCAACAGAGGCTCCTCCTGAAAACTCCATGGCGAGCCTCCGCGACCAAGCCGACAGAGTCCTGGACAAGTGGTACCAGTACACAGTGCAATGGGTGCGTGTTGCCGTCCAGCAAGCACCGGACGAGATGCTGTCAACGGAAGACTTCACCCGTCTGCTCCTTGTCCGCCACGATGACAATATATGCTGGAGACTGCAGGCTCTAGCGAAACACGTAGATATCTGTCGCTGGTACCGCGACGCAGAATCGAAGCTATTCCCGTCCATTTCTGCGCTTGCCCGTGTTTGGCTTGGCCGAAGCCCCTCCAATGCTTTCCAAAAGTGCGTCTTTTCCACCGGTGCTTTCGTCATGAACTCGCTTCGCACCAGCACGGACAATAGGCGAGCCGAAAAGCAGGTTCTCTTGAAGCATAACCGTACTGAGAACCGTCGTATGGAGATGGAGAGGGTCGCCGTGGCTGATTACACACAGTCAGCCTAGGTGCTCGCAACGTCCAGTTCAGTGGACCACACACAGGACGATTAGGTGGTCGTAAGCCAGTAGTTTAACAGTACAATAGTACTATTACTACAGTAACAAGGAAGACCAAATCAGAGTTACTGTTACTGCCAGTAGTTTATATTTTTTTGCACTGGCGAACTACTGCCAGTAGTTCAGAAGAATCGCCGGTACTGCCAACCCCTGATTGTAAGCTATTGAGTAGACCGGCAAACGTATCCAAATTGTACAATCTCGCAACCTGTTGGAAAATGCGTGCATGCATATTAGTATGTGGTGCTTAGGGACAATGGAGGAAAGTGTAAACAGCACCGACCTAATAGTTGAGTCTAAAAAGGAGCCTTCTTAACTGCTGAACAAGCATCCGAAAGAACCGCAATACCTGAATGTTATCACTGAACTGAATATCTAGCTATTTTTTTTTAACTAAAGAAAGAATTACCCTACCCACGACATAACCAATTGCGGCACTTTTCGGCCACAAAGATGCTGTCATCGGCTAGCCCATTTTATTTCGGTATGACGATGTACGGATAATACTGTAGTATTTTGAAAAACTTTCACAGGGTGCCTCGATTCGAATATTACTCTAAAACGTGATTCAATCCGGTACGCTGCGTTAATTTAGACTCGTAAATGTGGATGATCGGAAAGAACTTATCCACTAGAGAGCTGTAGTTTCTGAAGTAGTAAGAAATACCAAAGCAAATATCCGGATTATCCAAAATTGATTTTCGTGTGAATATTTTTAGATGGTCTAATTCTTAGCTCCAGTGGAGTTCTGAGGTTGTTCTAGCTTCCAAGGAGTCTTTTTTTGGAGCACGCCTTCGTTACCCTCGATGAGCTCCATAACCTCGAATAGCTTCAGAAACTACAATTCGCTACTACGACCGCAATGCCTGTAGTGCTGACCCTCATTCGCTTGCGTTTCCATGCAGTGCTGAAGCTTAACTTTAAGAATGCAAAGATGCTATCCAATTGGGAAATAAATTAACAGCCAATCTTAAACCTCTCCAATTACCTTACGCAATTTCCATCGGACATCTGATTGGGCTTATGTTGCAAAAAAGACTTCGCGCTCAACAGGACGCCTGGGGCGAGCTTTATAACGCGTCATTGGATATGAAAACTAGGGAAATGTCAAACATGCCTTTATTTAACGGAATTGTTGGAGGTCAGTATTATAGTACTGGAAATGGGCAGGACTCTAGTCATGGAAGTGTCCATGATTTGAAAAATTAATATTACTTTCGGCTAGATACGATAGAGGGCTGATTCCAATCGAGGACGACCCCCCAATCTCCAATCTCCCATTATCACTTTTCCCGTTCTCTGCTCAAATGTTCGTAGGAGTCGGCGGCGGCGACGCTGACGCGACCACGGCGCGCGCGGTTAGACGTGGCACCTCTCTATAGGGTCAAGGACCTGGCGTCTCAGACACTCTAGGTGTTGATGCAGCACTTTTGAAAGTCGACGAGCAGCCTAATGACGACATTAATGAGCATAGTAGCCAAAAAGATGACAGCGGTACTAATTCCGGCAATCAGGACGATGATGATGGACGTGACAGTGCCGGCAGCACTGATGGCAGAGAAGAGGGCAATGGAGAAGCAGGACGTCATTCGGTATCAGCTGTTAGCGGTGTAGATGAGGAGGTGAGAAGTGACGTTGATCTTGTGGATGTGGATCCACCGCAGGTTTGGCACAGCAGCTGGGAGGCCTGGCAAAAATATTTTGCCAGCGGTCGATGCAGGTACTTCCGGTCAAGGATACGATGTCGCGAGCGGAGAAGAACAAGCGGCTGAAAAGGGCTAAAGGGCGAAGACGACTCGCAAATGGTGCCTAAAACAATAGACCCTTATCAGCGCACGTACATTGGTACGCACGGTTGAAAGAAGCGCAAATCGCGGAGCGAAGGTGACGTCCGAGACAGCACATTCGTCTCACGAATTGCCCATTTCGGTTCATTGTGCAGTGGGATTCGGCTCGCGGTGAGCTACAAGTGAAGAACGGCAGTTACTCGCACAGCCACGGGGTTTCTGTCAGTGCGTATGCTACGTATTTCACGTCTTGGGGCATCGCCGATCCACTGGTTGGAGCCCATGTAGACGGCATACTACATGTACCAGTTGGTGCAAAGCGCTCGTGCATCTACGACTAACTTCTGGATCACGACGAAAAACGTAATCCAGTCCGGCGTGACAACTTAGTGCGCAGCCACTCATCTTCCATTTGGACATTGGGCGACAACGACGCCACCGCTCGGGAAATCGCGCTTTTTGCAGCGGCGGATCCCAGATAATTTTCCTCCCGTGGCTGAGACGGATGCAGGAGAGAGTGGAGTGATCGCTATTGCTACCGCTCACATGAGGCGCGTGTACGACGATTCAGCGAGCTTCTTTTGGTCGACTGCAGCCACAAGTCAAACAGGTTTATTTTCTAAGTATACACGATTAATGCAGGCTTCTGACAGGATTAAACATGGTTTTTTGTCTTGCTTTCAGATACAACTTTCAGTTGCTGACTTTCGTGGCGATGGACAAGTGTGGAGAAGGAGCCGTGGTGCGACATTCTTCGATCGAGGCAAACGGGGACTGGCACATGGAGCGAGCCATCTCTCATTTCAAGCGATCTCATCCTACCCGTATACAGTCGCTACGTGCTATTATCGGGGGCTAGGACCTCAACGAGATTCGAGTTCTGGAGGCCAGCTTTCCCGACGCTCGCATCTTGATTTGTCACTTTCACGTGATAAAGGTTTTGAAAGAGATGCGGGCTAAGCCCGAGCTCGGTAAGTTATCGGCGGAAGATGCGAGCCAGATAAACGAAGCGGTGCACAATATGGTGTACGCATTATCCGAAAACAAGTATAACGATGCTCATGATTTGCCCAAGGGAATTTGAGAGCGGTGTGGAATGGATGTTTTTTTTTGCCTATTTTGAAAAGAACAGGGACGCTAGTCGAAAACGTTTGGTGTTATATCTTCGGTCTACGCTTGCACACTTCAAAATCCACACAAATATTCGCCAGGAGAACTTCTTCGGAAAGCTGAAGGAGGGTGTACACGGCTCTATGGGCATGGTTCAGTGTATTAAGTCTCTGGTTGCTTTCGATCGGCGAAAAGAGAACGAGTATCAGTATCGCACATCAAGCATTGGCCAATTTGTGAACAGCAACTACGATGAAGAGATGAGTAACGCTCTACACTTCACAACTCATATGTGGCTCGTCAAATCGAGCATCAGTATATTGCAGCAATGGACAAGGCATTCATGGACCAGTACGACATTGACAAAGGTGAAGCTTTTTGTGTTATTGTGCGCGGCCTCTTTTCGGAACACAAACTGCGGCTGGACACTTGGATCTGTGGTTGGGAGTTCGCTAGCTCCATGTGTCGACCATGCCGTCACGCCATTGCCTATCGCAAGAAACACGTCGTGTCCGGAACGTTAATTTCGTGGAATCGTATTGACGACAGGTATGTACCAGTATTTTCCAGGATTATCCCGGACTGCTTTAGGTTACCCTGGATTATTCCGAAAAGCTGGATTTATCAAGGATTCAATGTAGTATCCAGGCTTTATCCAGGATTTTCAACTTTATCCAGGATATTACCTCGTTCAGTTTGGATTTTCGTTGGATTATCCTATTTTATAGGGATTTTTGCTACAAATATCCTGAACTGAAAATCCTATATACTTCCATGATTTCGATCTTGTATCTTGCTTCTAACTTGTGCGTGTTGAATGAATACGTAGGTGGACAATAGAAAGCCGCAATTTGAAGAAGGTGAAACAATTTACTTACGAAAGGTTTTCAGGTGAAACAAAAGGCGCATCAGCACGAAGCGTGCGAACGCATTCATACAGGTACCGAGAGGCAGTACGTGCGACCCATTTGATCGCAAATGAACTGGCGGACATTGAAAACAATGACGAATGGACGAGATGCTACGGTTTGTTATAAATCAGTGGAGAAATATTCGCCAGCAAAAGCTGGCGGAAACAGATATTATCACGGAATAAATGGAAGATGCAGATGACGGAGCGAGTCAAAGTTCACTTCGCGACAATGATGATGACGTGAAACGAGAATTCGGGATAAGTAGCTGTGAAGACGAGGCCATGGTCTGTGATGATGAAGAGTAGAGAGCTTCGGCTGGAGGAACTGGTAAGGTAACGATAAAGTTGAACTCGAAAGCCATATAAGTTAGAGCACCCAGAAAACTGAAGCAGAAGGTGCGTGCAAAGAAAATGCGACCGAGAGTGGTATGAAGCGGCAGAAGAGGGCAAAAAAAATCAGGAGAAGTTCTCCTGACGGCGCTGTGTAGCGCTCTCGATCGAAAGCAGCCTGGACTAGTGGAAGCGGAGAGGCGCTTATCGGGTGTTCTTGTCAAGTTTGGAGACTTTAAAAGAAGAAGCCAAAACGCAAAGTTTTGAAGAATCCTGTTTTGTTCCAGGATCCTTCCTTTATTCTTCCTGGAAAGCTCCTAGATTCATGTACGAAGCTGCTTCCTGTTGGCAGCACCGCGGCTGATGCAATTTCAATTGACGACTCTCAATTAAGTCAGTCTCAGGGTGTATCTCGCACTCAAGCTCAAGGTACAGTGGAGACGTTGATCATAAAGGCCGTGGGTAGCTTCTCGCGTAAACAGATCTATACTTTAATGAGAGTCCAGAATATGAAGAATCAGGTCCATCTGGGTCTATACATGCACAAGTGGCTTAGGCAGGATGGACTACCAACACTACCTGCTAAATACCACGATCTAGCGATCACAGCGGCTGAAGCCGTGGTGAAGGCATACCCACACAAACGCATAGAGACTCTCCCTAACTACCCGGACTTCCAATACGAGATGCTGTATCGAGCGGCGCCCCCAGCTCGGCTAAACGACCCTACAATAAAGGCGTTGTGCTTGAGACTCTACGGAAACTACCCTACGTGCAGATTCGCCGGGCTCCAGTCCGCCACAACAAAGTCCAAGCGTACCCGGAACCGAGACGAGCAAGTTATAGACGCTGCTATACGCGATCTAATTCTCCATCAAGCGGGCGACCAAGCGGTGGAGACCATTTGCTGCCCCTGAACTTCATGAACTTCCATTGGTGCTGTGTTACGGTAAAGGTGAGTCAAAAACGGATATTTTACTATGATCCACTAAATCAAGGCCCCTACATGAATGCTGCCAAGGCTGTGGCGACCTACCTCAAGTTAGCTGGGCTGCAAGGATACGATGTTATTCCGCAGAACACCCTTTGCAGTTTGATCCGTTCGGCTGCGGAGTCTATGTATGCTGGAGTCTCATTCGACAGGTGTGTAAGAGTGTTCATCCGGACATGAGCAAGACTGCGGTTACTCGCCGACGATTCGAATTGCTCTATTACCTACTGACGGCCCGTCTACCCCCTGTGGAAGCCTCTACATCGACATCAAATGCTGAAGATAATGGTACGGAAGATAGTTTGCCGCCTCAGAGAGGGGCGACGAAGAACTTCCCCCAACTCAAGTGAAGCAGTAGGTCGGCGGGCCATGGTGTGCTAAAATTTTGGAAGCGTGCAGAAGTTAAACAGCTACTAATACATTTTTCTTCACCTTTATAAAGGTTGTCTCTTCTTTTTTTAACCTCATTCAGATATAAGAGCTTTAAAGAGTGACTTCCGTTGTCTCCATACGCGATCTGATAACTGTGGTCTTCGCAGGATTATTACGTGATTTTAACAGGATTAGTCCTGGAGCGATACATTGCTATAGCGATTTCGTCAAAACACGATGTACACATCCAAGCGTAATCCTGGATGATTCTCAGCCACACAATACGTATCTAACTCGTCCTCGACAAATCTTCCCGTATCTTCCCCATATGGACACTGATTTAAGCTATATTTCGACGACCAGGGTAAATCCTGGTCATAATCGTGTATATTTACAGTACTATAATCCTGGCCTCCCCTAACCTAGCATTTGTGGGTAGCTTAAGACCTGCCGTGCGTTATTAATAGTGGATAAGCTCTTAAACGAAGGAACCGATCATCCACAATTGCGAGTCTAAATTAAAGCAGCGTACCGGATTGAATCACGTAACATTCGGATCGAGTCACCTTAAGGAATTTTCCAAAAAACTACAGTCCCGCAGAGGGTAAAAGCACACATCAGTGCATCGTCATGCTATAATACAGCAGGTTGAAAAGGTTAAACAATGACAGCATCTTTGTGCCACAATTGCTTGTGTCACGGGTAGGTGTTGTTGTTGTTAAAGGCAAATGCCGAAGTGAGTAGATTAAAGTCAATTAAATCTGTCCTCTAAACTTCAGTGCTCCTGGCCATCCACCAGATTAACCGGTTTGGGACCGGTCCATTTTGGAACGTCACGCCGGTTAGCCGAACCGTGCAGAGTCGGTGCATATCAACACTCCCACTCACCGCTACTGCACGTCGTTCCTCTTCTTGATTCCACTTGCTTCGCGAAGGAACGCTAGCGACTTCGTTCCCAGTGCTTTCGTAAGCATGTCAGCTAACTGCTGCTTCGTGTCGATGTAGGCCACCTTGATTGTGGAACGTTCCACATTCTCTCGAATAAAGTGGTGACGGATATCCACGTGCTTGGTCCTCGCGTGATATCCAGCGTTGCTTGCAAGTGCAATAGCACCTTGATTGTCTTCCCAGACCTGCGTCGCTCCCACTTGCTCGTGACCCATGTCCTTCAGCATGGCACGTGTCTATAGTACCTCTTGAGTACAAAGGCTTAGTGCCATGTACCCTGCTTCTGCTGAGCTAAGTGCAACCGTCCTCTGGTACTTGGACTTAAACACCACCGGAGCGTTCCCAATCATGATCATGACGCCAGACACTGAACGTCTGTCGTCAATGTTGCTTCCCCAGTCTGCGTCCGTAAACGCTTCTGCCTTGACAGCTTGCGTTTCAAATCCACTCGTTCCATTTTTGTAAACGATACCATGATGGCGAGTGGACTTCAAATACTGCAGAACACGAATCGCTGCCTTCCAGTGTTGCGTTCCAGGATCCTCTAGGAAGCGTTCCAGCTGCGTGACAACGTAGGCAATGTCCGGCCGAGTACAGGTTGTGATGTACATGAGGCACCCGATTAAGGAACGATACGGTCGTGACCGCATTTCGGCACGTTCCTTTTCCGTAGTCGG